CACCTTACTCCGTTCGTCGGTGGAGGAGAAGAACATAGCAGAACTCCACTCAAGCAGACAACCAAAGCAAACTGCCTGGACGAGGCATCGCCTGCCACGTCCAACTGCTTGGCGAGCTCCACTGCCAGCTGCTCCACGAAGAGGAGCTGGACAGTGGGATGGAATTGCCTCGGAGACCAGCTAAAACATCACGGTCTTGCAAAGCATCGCTCACGTGCGCCAGGACACTTCCAGCTCGCCAGCTGCTGCAGGACCCACGCCTTGCTTGCCCTACACTCTAGAACTCGAGGGGTAATAATAATTAGTCAGGGTTTTGGGCTCTTTCTTGTGTGATCATGAGAAGGGACCCTATGGAATAATATCGGTACTTTGTTTCCTACAAAAACAGTGCCTGCAAAACAGAAGCCCGAATTCTAAGAGTGCTCTGCCTCAAGCCTACGCCCGAAACTTTCTACATGGAGAACCACAGCAGCAGCAAAAGAAGTAAGCACGCTAATCAACATCAATACAGACATTTGCAAAGCTGCGTGTCTAATGTTTCAGGAGTTATGCAGTCAGTCGAAGGACGAGGAGATGATACGACTGCGGCATCAAATCGATGCAGACAAGGTGCGCTCAAAGCGTGCGCTTGTGCTGGAGATAAGCTTCAGCATGTCAACATGTCCAGGTCAACAGCGAAGTCTTGCGGCGGCAGGTTGAGGCCACTGCTGGTCGCAGGGACTTTTGGCAGATCACTGTACTTCCACTTCGGCAATCACAGCTGCACTCCTTTCCGTCTTGAGCCAAACGTCAAAGGATCCTCGTATTTGTTACGAACTTTATGTAGGGCTTAAGAGAAAGATTTATAGGGCCTGGAATTCCTTAAGATGTTGAAAATATGAGAAACTGCAGCAAGCCGTTCGATCACTATACTGCAGGTGTTCCGATCAAGGCATCTGAATATGTGGTCTTGCCTTCAAGATATGGACTTTGGGGTTTAGGCCCATAGGGCCTTAAGAATTAGAAAGAGCCTTGGGACATGTTGTTAGCATCATGATAATAAAGAACCCTACATAAGGAATTTCATTGGCAATCATTCGGACCCCATTGTACCATGCTCGAAGTGAAATCTAAGACTCTAGCTGGAAAAGGACCTACCGACCGACACCAGAAGTGACAACCCAAGATGACACCCAGCCAGAAACGGACGCACCGCACCGAGATCAAAGGCCAGACCCACAGATAACCCTGAAGCCTCAACCCCCTACGACCTAGACCCAAAAATCCCCAAAAACCCAACCCTGGTAACCCTAGCGGCTCCTGAGCCTGCGGGCTTTGGGTTGAAAGTGTCTTACAGTGTCTGAGCTCTAAGGCCTCAGCCGGGAGCTTAGCTGAAGGGATTCGACTCGATAGCATAGTATGGTATATATATATATATATACTATACTGTAGTCTATTATATATAATTTGTAAAATACAGAATACTATGGTATATTATATTATAGTATATTAGAGTACTCAGGGCCTGGTGCATTGCAGTAGTCCGGTCGAAAAGGGTCGTGGAGTTAGGGTTCGAAGAGGCATTTCGCAAGGACTTCATGGGCGAAGAGATACCATGTGGGGACCGAGTGCCAGACTATTCTTCAGATCCTTGGGATCCCTGTTTTCGGCTACAAAGATCCAGACCCTAGAACATAAGCTCAAAACGTTGGAGTTCTGGAGACACAGAGACTGCCACACCTTTCAGTTGAGGAATAGACCTTAAATCACTGAGGGCTCCTCAAGATGCAGAGAACTATCTTCCGCATCAACGGCATGAAAACCCTCTCAAACCCCCATAAGACCTTATCTCCCAAAACCCCCGCAAACCTCTATATATAAGATCCCCCTATAAACCCTTATTTATATAAGATCCCCTATAAGCCCCTATAAGATCTTACTTAAAATAAAAAGGGCCGGGAGCTTCTGGGATTGAGCCCGCCTTAGTCACGAAAGCTCCTGCCGCACCACTCGTGCCTCCCAGGGCCCGAAATGCGGGTGAACCAGGGCTTGGGGTTTAGGGTGTAGGTTTAGGGGTTTAGGGTTTAGTGCGTGAGGGTTTG